TTTTTTTAATTAACCCGTGCCGCAAGAGGGTTAAAGATTTAATTATTGTTAAAATATGATTAAATTTTGCCTTTCACTATAGGCTTACCACTCCACGATTTTTCAATGAAAAAAGTCTGTCGAGTGGTTTTCTTATAGTTCAAACACCGCTGAACCCGAATCTGAAATTCGTTTTTTTTTTTCATTAATCGTTTTTTTAGAATAGCCTGTGTCGGGAGTAGGTAAAATCGCAAATCGGATGAAAAATGGAATTAGGCTCTTTTCACATTCAAAGTCCTGTAACGTCGCCAGTTTTCAATAAAAAAATCTGAAAATTGGTATACTTATGGTTTTGACATCGCTGAACTCGAATCTGACATTTTCATTGATGACAGCTGTCAAAATAGCTGTCAAAAATCCCAAAAACGATTTTTTATTAAAAATGCCCATTTGCCCCTGTAAAATTATGTTTGGAACTTGAAATTTGACAGTTCAATCATTTGTACATTTTATTGAGTGATTTGGATTTCGGTTTTATGAAAATAAATAATTCAAAGTGCATCAAATTCAGATTCAGCGCATGAAATAACCATAAAATGGGCATTTTTAATAAAAAACCGTTTTTTGGGATTTTTGACAGCTATTTTGACAGCTGTCATCAATGAAAATGTCAGATTCGAGTTCAGCGATGTCAAAACCATAAGTATACCAATTTTCAGATTTTTTTATTGAAAACTGGCGACGTTACAGGACTTTGAATGTGAAAAGAGCCTAATCCCATTTTTCATCCGATTTGCGATTTTACCTACTCCCGACACAGGCTATTCTAAAAAAACGATTAATGAAAAAAAAAACGAATTTCAGATTCGGGTTCAGCGGTGTTTGAACTATAAGAAAACCACTCGACAGACTTTTTTCATTGAAAAATCGTGGAGTGGTAAGCCTAAAGTGAAAGGCAAAATTTAATCATATTTTAACAATAATTAAATCTTTAACCCTCTTGCGGCACGGGTTAATTAAAAAATAAAAATCTAAAAAAATTACCAAAAATTTTTTTTTCCCAAACTACAACTTTTTGGGGGGTGCGAGCAAAAAAATTCGCACATCGCCCAAATAACGGACACCCTATTATACATATATATACATATTTGAAACACCCTGTATATACATTATGTATTGGGAAGTATACTAAACAATTTTTAATAAATTGTATATAAATAGTATAAAAAAAGCATTTAACAATAATTAACACCCAAAATGATGATATTTATAGATTTTATAATGACATGTTTATATAACAGCAAGAATTTGGCAACGTCGTATTTTTTTGTTTGTTTTCTGTTGTATACCAATTTTTTGGCATTGTTGAATGAAAAAACATTGTGTTTACAGGAGTTTTAGTGGAATAATATACATATTATACCACTTTTTGCTGTTTATAAAGCCAAAGCACAGAAATTTATGTAAACTTATTAAACTAGGTTAAACCTAGGCGATGTAAGCAAACTTTTCACTCGAACGGAATATGCCGTATTCCAAACTTGTTACAGAATATACTAATACATTTCTCAGAAATTTTTTTCTAGATAAAAGTTTTTGCTTAATTTCAAACTTTCAGAATATGCGACACATCATTTTTTAATTTGGCCTTTTTATAAAAATCATTTTTGTCACTTTTCGTTTATTTAAGTTAATTAAGTGTAGGATTAAATTCAATATAATTCAAATATTTTAAAAATTACACCATTCAACTATCAATTTTGCATAAAACTTTTTATTTTACAAAATAATTTTACTCGACCCTGCATTAAGAAAAACTTAATTGGCATTACCTTATTCTGCGAAACAAAGTATAAATTAAAATTATCTCACCCCTCATTATAGTCTGTGTTTTTGTGCTTCATAGCATACAATAGACAAAACCTAAGGCTAAAATTTATAAAGTCGGTGCAATTAAACTAAGCGTCACCACAATAAGTTTGTTTTATTGTCAAGCCAACTTCCACCGCACCAGGTTAATTATCGTGTCACGACGGTAAACAACTTTTTTGGTTTAACTTAAAGAACTGTTAAGTTTGGAATCTTTTAATGATGAAACCTTTTTAAGGCGATGCTGCAGATAAAGGTTAAATCATCTATATTTTTTTTGTGGTAAAAAAAGGACCTTATGTTTACTAACCTTGTTGTAGACCCAGTAACCAAAGTATTTGTTGGAAATTAGAAACTTAAATGAAAAGAATTTGACAACAAATATAACTTTATTAATTAATTTCCTAAACAAAAAAATTAACACATAAATGAAACCAAAAATAACATACAATATAAAATAAAAAATTAATTATCAGTACTACTACAACACTTACTGATGTATTTCGTAACTTTAACCCACTTCACTGTATAGTTTGAAAACTAGTGATGGCATCTTTTTTTGGATACTTCGCACGGTATAAGTAACCCGAATAACAATAATAACAGATTTCTGGTAATATATTATTAAAACTCTGGACAGTTGTTACGAACACGTTACGAATTAGAATAAAGTAAGCAGAAACATAAGTCAGTTGAACTTGTTGATGCGTATTGTCAGTGGGAAATGTTTTGATTGACTGCATAAAATCACGTGTACTTTTTCAACGAAATAATAAAATAATTACAAAAAATTATATTAAAATTTTACAAAAAAAAATTTACAAACTACAAACTCATGTTAACAAATCTGATTTTTAAAACAGTTTATAAATTTTAATAAAACTTTAAAACAAATATATAACTTGTAAAACCAAATTCAGAACAAACCACCATTGTATTTTAATATTGAAACCGAAGTTTTAACTTCCTTCTTATAAACAAAAACACACAAAACAAACTTGTAAAGTTGACACTGACAGTACGGCTCACTGAAAATTTCTATATTTCTATATAAATATAATAATTACTATAAAATATTCAGTCATCTATGGGCAATTTTTATTTAAATCGTGATTTAAATAAAAAAAATCGATCGGTTTAAATCATGTAATTTAAACCATAAAAACCCTGAGAAATGGAAGGTAAAACATTGAGACAATGTATTTTTTTTAATTATCCTAAGCACTCTTTTAACTAATCCTATTAACGTTCCCATTAATTATTCCGACTTACTGTTTGTTTTTCAGTCAAAACGCCTTTTGTTTGCTTCGAAAGACTATCTCGAATCTAAATAATAAACATAAAGGGTTCAACAGTCATTAATAAAATTTCGTGTCTTGCTACTTCCGAGTCGGAAAAGTAAACGTGGAAATTTTTGGCAAAACATTTTAAATAAATCACAGTTTGCTAGTCGGGTAGTTTCATAAAAGCGCTAATTTTATTAAAAGCTTTGCTTATTGTAAAACTAGTCGATTTTGTTTTTCATTTATAACTTATAAAATGCTTTTGAAGTCCAACAGATGGCGCGCGCGTTGCGAAAACTCGATACTTCTTAAGCGTATTATACATATTAACAAATAAACTTCACCAAAACAAAAATCGTAAAGATAGTCTACATCACAATCCACACAACAAGGTCTGTTCTATCTCGTACTAAAAATACAAAAAATCACTGCAACACTGCACAGTTTAACGGCGGCCATTTTTGTTGTTTACAATTTTTGTGCTTTGGGTTTGTGCTCTGTTTAAAAGAGTCCTTAAAGTGCTAAGAACAACCATTTTACTCCTCTATTGTAAAACTTTATTCTATCAGGGCTTTAATAAAACTGTCAAATGTCAATTTTAAGGTTAAATTATAACCCAAAAATTAACCTTAAAATTGTCATTTGACAGCCCTGATAGAATAAGGTAATAGGAGTAAAATGGTTGTCCTTAGCACTTAAAGGCCTTATTTAAGGCTTACAAGTGCCTCTGTAAGAAACACAACGTTTAAAACAATTATTAAACAGCACAAACCCAAAGCACAAGAATTGTAAACAACAAAAATGGCCGCCGTTAAACTCTGTGCAGTGTTGCAGTGATTTTTAGCATGAGATAGAACCACAGACCTACAAACAAAATGGACCGGTTTATTTACATTGAAAAGAGTGGCAAGGAACAAAAATAAATATTTTCCCTCAGTTGTCACATCTGACTTTATTTGCTTTGAAGTATCTATATTTTACGTAAAAGATACTTGGAATCCACAACTTATTTAATATTTTTTATTTGATTTTATAGTGAAAAATACCAATAGTGAGTGATATAAAAATGGTGAAGCAGTGCTACGTTTGTAAAAGACTTGGATCCAAGAATTTAAAACTTTCTTTTCATAGGTTAGTTTAATTACAAAACAAACCCTGCCAGGGGCGTAGAAACTGAATAAATAAATGAATTCACTTAAATTTTAGATTTAAAGAGCCAGATTCTACATCATCTGGAACACTAACTGACAAGGTTAGTATTTTGTTACACCTATATATTTATATATATTAAATATAATTTTTACATAGGATTGCAAAACACAATAAAAAATGTACAATTGAATATTTTTATTTATCCCTAAAAACAGAACGCCACTGGTGTGGGAACTTGTTTATAAATACCCCTTACTCCTTTACCCCTAATCTAAATAGTTCTTGGCAACAAAACATTGTGTATTTTGAAGGGGAAAGGCCAGTCCATTTTGTTTGTAGGTCTGTGGATAGAACAGACCTTGTTGTGTGGATTGTGGTCTACATAATCCCAAATTTTGACATTGTTATTGTCCAATCGCAGCGCCAGCTTAATTCGGCGCGAAATTTTGCATGCATGCTGGAGTGCGAGTATCGGTTGAAAATAGCCACTCTACGTGTGCAACACTCCCACTCTAAAGCTAGCTTCAGAGTTGATTGAAAATGTAGCTTTAATGTGGAAACAATCGACGAACTGGACGCGCATAGTCCTCCATTCTCATTTTGAAACATTTCTGCTAATTAGGGCTAAGGACTATTTTATATTACTTGACGTTTATATTTAAAATAAAAAACACATTTAGTTGTTTTTTGGTTATTTTTAGTTTTTTTTTGTTTCAGTGCCACCGCCGCATATAAAAGGTGGTCCAGGAAACAATGGTAGAAGCTAAATCAGTATTGGCGGTGTTGTCCAGTGAAATCACTCGCAGCCAGCATGAGGAAGTCGAAATTAAATTCGAAGGCGGTAAGTTTGAAAAAATTGTACAAATATGCTAAAAAAGAATGCACTCTAAGTATAAAAATGACAACAATGCATATTCCCTCCTTTACCAGATATTAAAAAATGATCCAAAACTTGATGAGTCAGCTTTTCCTCCACTGTATTTTAATTTTTTTTATATGTTTTATGTTTCCCTTTCCACTTGCTTCTCCCATAGTTGCAAGACTCCTATAATGTCCGTGTGGCCAAATCTAGTCGCCTCATCTAGCGAAGTGTTGCCCCAACGGTCCCGCATGTCATGTCGCGCGTGACATTCTTGTAGAAGAAATTCAACGCACTGTAAATGACCCTCGGCTGATGCCAAGTGCAAAGCAGTGCGGCCATCATAGTCTGATAAGGTCATATCCATCCCCGATAGCTTATGTCTGAAGAATGAAATGTTGTAATGTCATCAAATAGGTTGACATCCTTTAAGGAGATGATAGAACACGCATTTTTGCATAAGTACCATTTTTTTAATAAAAAAAAGTCAAGTAGAAATTTTGGCGGCCACTGGAACCTCAGGAACAGGTTTTCGTAGTTTTCCCGTCCATTTTAAATTTCACCTTTCACTTTTTACGTCGATTAATGCTCATGTAGCTATTTTTTTAAGTGTTCCACAAAATCATAATAACTGTTCAACTATCCCGCCGTTATCATAATAATAATAATATTGTTTTTAGAGGTAAAAACAATGATATGTACACTATTTAAAATATCTGTGGTGTAAAAAGTAATCTTAAAATGGTGTCAAAATCCAACACCAACTGGTGTTAATATAACACCATGAATTATGGTTGAAAATGTGTACCGATCGCGGCAAAGGCGGTGTGGATCAAGTGATGTTCTTAAGTCTCGCCTCTGTTGACTTACATGCAGAATATATAAACTCAGGTGGTCATTTGCTTTGGTGTGACACTACAAGTTGTTCGATACTAAAGAGACCTTAAATAGGTGGAAACAGCTGTCAATACTTAAGTATTTTAAGTTAGTGGAACGCACTAAAAACATTATCTCTAGCGAGTTGAAGGTTCCATTTTCTGGAATAATACCACTGGTAATATACTAGTAATGCGTCAAGGAACTTCCTGTTTCCTTTTTTTTCTTCCTTTTTTCTGTGTAGTATGATTTAATTTGACCACAAACACATAATATTTAACACTGAAAAGGAGTTCAATTTACACCAGGTAAAATTTATTTTAATACTGTTTGAAAGTTAAATTAACACCATTTTAGTATTTGAATTTACACCGGCCAACGAACCATGTTTAACACCATTTTGGTTTGTATCGATATAGACCATGTATGGTGTTATTTTGGTGTTAAAATGGTCATGAAATTTTGAACAGTGTAGGATAGGTTGGTGACATCCAGTGGCTCCCTGGTTTTGTCATACAATTTCATAATGGAAGATTTCTTAAATCATTCCAGTATTAAAACGAGGTGATAACTCGCTTATTGTCAACTACCGACCAATATTAATTTTATGTAATTTTGCTAAAATATTCAAAACAATAATAAATCCAAAAATTTTTGATCAAATAAAAAATATGTTGTCCCCTTTTCAACATGGTTTTACAAAACGATCTACCACAAGTAACTTGGTTTCATTTACACAACATGTTAGTCAAACGATTGATAGCAATGGCCAATTGGATGTTATTTATACCGATTTTCAAAAGGCTTTTGATCAAATAGACCATTTTATTTTATTAAATAAATTAAGGCGGATGGGTTTTGATGATATGCTTATTAAACTTTTTGAATCATGCCTTACTAATAGGCAACAATATGTCATTGTTAATGGTTACTGTTCCGAGTGGTTCGCCTCTTGTTCAGGGGTGCCGCAAGGATCTAATTTAGGACCCATTCTTTTTGTTATATTTATTAATGGCTTGCCATTAAATTTAAGTTGCTCCCGGCTTTTATATGCGGATGATTTAAAAATTTATAAAGATATACAAAACTTAAATGACTGCTTTGAACTTCAAAATGATTTAAATACTTTAAACCAGTGGTGTCTTAATAATCGTTTAAAGTTGAATATATCTAAATGTAAGATTATGCGCTATACCAGAAAACGAAATCCAATTATTTTTGAATATAGCATTAATGATATTCCCTTGGATACAGTTTCTGTAATGAAAGACTTGGGTGTTATTTTTGATCAACAGTTAGGCTTTGTAACTCACATTAACACAAATATAAAATCTGCAACAATGACCCTTGGATTTATTTTTAGAAAGGTTTTTCTTCTCAGTCCGTTAAATTACTATATTATTCGTTAGTCTGCAGCAAACTTGAGTATGCCAGCGTGGTTTGGTCTCCAATATATGCCTATCACATAACAAACCTTGAGAGTGTACAGCGTAAATTCCTAAACATTCTTAACTTTAGAATATTCAATTTTTATCCACCACAGGGTTCTGATCATTTAGTTCTGTTAGAGACTTTTAATGTATTGTCTTTGGAATTGAGAAGAAAAATTATTTCAATAACTTTTCTGTATAAACTTCTTCATGATCAGATCGATTGCATGGATTTGTTAGGGCAATTGTGCTTTAATATTTCTCGTTGTAATAGCCGACAATGTATAACGTTTAGATGTCCCTTTGCTCGTACAAACACACTTAAAAAATCTCCTTTATATGTTATAATATAACATATAAAGGAGATTTATATGCATAATATTGCATATTATGCAATATATTCAATTGTATTTCTACTTCCTGTGATATAAATTTTTCTTCCTTAAGCTTTATAAAAAACTGTTTATCCTAGTGTTTTATATTGTTAATTGTAAAAATTGTTAACTATTTATATTTTTAATTATTTATATATTGTTTTTAACTTATTTGTATTATTTATTTATAAGCTAGTATTTGTAAGTAAACACTATTATATGAATGTCCATTTATGGTATGTACTGTTGGGCAATAAATACCTATTATTATTATTATTATTATTATTATTATAATTGTTTTATTAAAAAACAGTAGGTCTGATGCAAAAACTTTCTTGTTTTTCCGTGTACTATCATCCCCCCAAAGGTTGACAATTTATTAGGTGGCAATCAGAAATTAAAAAATAAAATATATCTTAAAAAAACATACTGAAACTCACTACCTTCTTAGACTGGGTAGGTCTCCCGCAGCCGCTGAGAATAACACGTTTACAATATTCAGCCCTTTGGTTTCAAATCTGTGCCGTCTAGGGTCTTTTTTGCCGGTAGCATGTTTTAAATCATCATATCTGTGAAAGTTGAACTTTTTGACCAACTCCTCGCAAAATTGCACTCCTCGACAGCTGTTTCCTAATGCATCCAAAGGAGGGGAATACGAACATATTCCCATTAAGTTTGGTATGACCACCAAGAGACACCCGCTCACACCGGCCTTGGCAGGTACTCCAACCTAAGAAAAATAGATAGTCTGGGGGTTTTATTGGATGGTATGGAGGATGTATGAACCTTAAAAGCAAATTGACCTGAATAGTCGTACATTCCGCAACTGTGCATTAACGAGAGGACGTCTCTAACGCTTTCGGATTTTATGACTTTTTCTTCGGAAAGTGGGCAAATGCCACCGTTTGCCAAGGTCGCTCCAATTACTGATACAATGTCGCAGTTTGCTTCCAAAGAACAACACTACAAAATATAATATATTGTTTAGTGCAATGTAAAGTAGGTATATTACTTGAAAGTAAAAATCCATACATTCCCTAAATTTGGCATTTGATGGAAAACATTCGTGTTCGCGCATGTAATAACCAAGGGCGTAATTCCTATCGGCCGCCTCGCGTTCCGATAAAAACACAGCATTATTAAAACCCAAATCCTCATTGCCAGCAAGCCTCTAAAAAATACCGTTCAACATAATAATTGGTAGTCCAGGAAACAAAGATTGTAGAAGGAAAACTCGATGGTGGGTTTTATTTTTTTCTATGTAGAGTCAGGGGTGCTGATAATGAATCAAGAATATTCCCCAAAAATTTCTTTCCGCGTCCCCTAATTTCATCCCCCGAAAGGAGAGTTTTTTTGCTTTTTGGCTCATAACTCGCTACCGTGAATTTTTTCAGAATTTTACCTCCAATACTTTTGATTATGTAATAAATAAGGCACACGAAAAAAGAACCCCATGTACATTGAAAAGCAGTAACTTTTGAAAAAAGTCTAGTACCTCAAAAAATCGTCCATTCGGTTATATTTGATTACCGTAAGGTTTGGGATCGATTACTTTTAAAATTGGGCCATAATAAAAAAACAAAAAAGTGATTTTGAAAGCAACGCTTAACTTTGTACACTGCGCATAGCAAAAGGGAACATCATATAGGTGCGCAATGGGGTTTAACGTGTGCCTTATTTAGTACATAATCATTAGTATTAGAGGTCAAATTCTGAAAAAATGCACGGTTAGCGAGTTATGAGCCAAAAAGCAAAAAAACTCCCCTTTCGGGGAATGAAATTAGGGGACGCGGAAAGAAATTTTTGGGGAATATTCTTGATTCATTATCAGCACCCCTGACTCTACATAGAAAAAAAATAAAACCCGACTACCATAGACTTTTCCTTCTACAATCTTTGTTTCCTGGACTTTGGGTCTTTTCATCTTAATTCGACCAGGGGTCAGTCCATGTCAACTCAACACACCCATTTTACCACACCACCTCAGATTTTCTTAAAATTTGGTATACTTATACTATGTACTAAGACTAAGAAAAATACCAATTTTTAAATTTATATCTCACACCGTTTCCGATATATGGCTATGTAAAGTTTTTAAAAACTCGCGAAAAAAGTGTGAACGTGTATTTTTTAAATTGCTCTGGAAGCTGTCCTAGTTCAGCTAGAAAGCTGGGAGAGGTGTCATTTTGCAGCATTTTAAATGCTCTTTCAAATGACATACGAACGCCAAGGGTATTAATGAAAAGATTTTGTTCAAAATCCATATATATATTTTGATTAATTTTTTTTTCAAAAAGTACAT